GCAATTTTTTTGAGATTAGTTATAGAGCTTCTATTGAAATTAAGGAAGTCACTGTCTAGAGTCAAGACTCTGGAATCTAGAAGCTCTGATTCTAATGCGTATTTTGTATTCATAACGAGCTTATAATGATGATTAGAATAATACATATATGACTAATAATCTTTTAAATATGAATAGTGATCTGTATTATATATCATTATAGCTTTCTCCCCCAATTCCCTGGACAAGGGGAACCCGCTGAAGGAATCCATTCTACCGACGACACCTTCGGCAGTGGATTACAATTCCACCATTGAGCGCAGTCTCATTTCACAGGCCTCCGAGTTCGTTTGGAACGATTCCTACAGCCTGGGGACTGTACTGGTAGGCTCCACCCTCTTCTGCTGCTTCCTGCTGCACCATGTGGACCTCCGCCAGAGACTGATGGGCGCCAAGATGCGAATCGCCTGTTGTTCCCTCATCTATCGCAAGACCCTGCAGCTCTCGATGAAGACGGCCGGACAAACACCGGCTGGGTACTTGATCAACTTGCTGTCCAACGACGTGAACCGCCTGGACTACGGCTTCATCTTCATGCACTGGATCTGGATAATGCCACTGCAGGCGGTGCTCACCTGTTACCTGATTTGGCTGAACATTGGAATTCCAGCGGTAGTGGGAGTTGTGGGACTGTTGCTGAAAACGGTGCCCGTGCAGACGGCACTGAGCAAGGTGACCTCTGTGCTGCGGATGAGGATTGCGGAGCGGACGGACGCACGAGTGGGCATCATGAACGAGCTGGTGCAGGGCATCCAGGTGATTAAGATGTACGCCTGGGAGCGACCCTTCCAGGCGGTGGTGGCTGAGGCTCGCCGACGCGAAATCCAGCAGATCCGCTATGCATCCTACCTGCGAGGCTTCTACCTCAGCACCATGGTGTTCACGGAGCGATCCACTCTCTACATCACCCTTGCGGCCGCCGCTCTGATGGGCCAGAACATCACAGCGGACTTTGTGTTCTCCTCGGCCAGTTACTACAACATCCTGCAACTGGTGGCTGCCATTTGGTATCCCCTGGCCGTAAGTTTCGGGGCAGAAGCCTTGGTCTCGCTGCGTCGCATCCAGGACTTCCTCATGCTCGAGGGCAGGGAAGAACGCGTTCACGGAATCACCCAGAAGAAGGACCAGGAGAATGGGGATTCTCGGGCCGTGACTCTCAAAGACATTAATGCCAACTGGGACAACGCGAAGCCCCAAAGAACGTTGCAAAGCATCAACCTCCAAATCGAAAAGGGACAGCTGTGTGCGGTGATCGGACCCGTGGGAGCTGGCAAGAGTTCCCTGCTTCAGTTGCTCCTGGGAGAGCTGCCAGTCATCGATGGTGGGGTTGTCATCCAGGGAGATATTTCCTATGCCGCCCAGGAACCGTGGCTCTTCACTGGCTCGGTAAGAAACAATATACTGTTTGGTGAGGAGTACGAGAAGAAGCGCTACCAGGAGGTGACCCGGTGCTGTGCTCTCGCTACGGACTTTCAGCAGTTGCCCAACGGCGATAAGACCATTGTGGGAGAGCGAGGAGCTTCTCTGTCTGGAGGACAACGTGCCCGGATCAGCTTGGCTCGTGCGGTTTACAAGCCGGCCACGATTTACTTGTTGGATGATCCTCTAAGTGCAGTGGACGCTCATGTGGGAAGGCATTTGTTCGATGAGGTGATCGGGCCCAAGGGCAGACTGGCTGAGCAGAAGGCTACTCGCATCCTGGTGACCCACCAGGTGCACTTCCTGTCTGAGGCAGATCTCATTGTGATCGTGGATCAGGGCAAGATTCTGAGGCAGGGAACCTACGAGGAACTGGTCAACAGCGACCTGGACTTTGCCAAGCTGCTGGAGCGGCCAAAGGACGAGGCGGAGAGCACTGCGGAGAACAGCCGCCTCCAAGCATCGCCTCTGACTATTGGGGGTCTGGAGAGTGACGAGGAGGACATACCCTATATCGATGGGGTGAAGGATGGATACCAGCAGCTGAGGAAGCAAAGCTCCTCCGTCCACGGCAGCAAGTCGGTAAGTCAAGAGCTCTCCATGTCAAGAGGTTCCAAAAGTATATCTTTTATCCCTTATCCAGTTGGACAGCGCACAGCTAGAGGATGATGTGGATGAGGATGCCCTTGCCGAGGCCCAAGCTTCGGGGGGAGTGTCACCGCGTGTTTGGTATGAGTACTTCCACGCCGGCAGCACCCTTATTAGCTTCAGCTTCATGGTCTTCGTGATGCTGATGTCGCAAGTGGTGTGCAGCAGCTCGGACTACTTCTCAAACATATGGACCCAGCAGGAGTACCAGCGATCGCAGGGAGGACCCACTAGCTTCACCACCTTCGAGTGCATGTACATCTACGGAGGCTTGATCATCGCCGTGGTGATTATGACCACATTCCGTGGCTTCCTGTTCTTCAAGATCTGCATGCACGCTTCCAAAGTGCTCCACGACAGGATGTTTGCCTGTATCCTCCATGCCACAATGCGGTTCTTCGACACCACTCCCTCGGGAAGGATTTTGAATCGTTTCTCGAAGGACATGGGTGCTGTGGACGAACTGCTTCCCAGAGCCATGATGGACTTCATACAGATCGCTCTTGTAATGTTTGGCATTCTAATTGTGATCAGCATCGTGAATCCCGTTCTGATAGCCTCAATGGTGGTGGTGGCTCTCGTGGATGTGCTCATCCTGAAGCTGTATCTTCGTCCCTCTCAGGATCTCAAGCGACTCGAAGGCATCTGCCGGAGTCCCGTGTTCTCCCATCTCAGTGCCTCACTATCCGGTTTGGCCATCATCCGGTCCCGCCAGCTGCAGGATGTGGTGGCCAAGGAGTTCGACCTTCTGCAGGATGTCCACAGCAGCGTGTGGCAGCTCACTATGGCCGCCAATACGGCCCTGGGTCTCTGGCTGGACTGCGTTAGTTGTGTCTTCCTTTCCGCTGTTACCTTCAGTTTCATCATCACCAACGAATGTGAGTTGGATTTTCTTGAAATTAGAATTTTTTTTCATTTGTTTTTGAACTCCTCCAGCCACATACAGCGGCAATGTGGGTCTGGCTATTTCCCAGGCCATGATCCTGACTGGCATGGTGCAGTACGGCGTGCGGCAGGTGGCCGAGTCCTTGCAGCAGATGACCAGCGTGGAGCGGGTGCTGCAGTACACGGAACTGGAGCAGGAGCCGGCATTGAATGAGAAGACCCCTCCAGCTCAATGGCCCACCAGCGGACAAGTGGAGTTCCGGAACATGAACTGCCGCTATGATCCAAATGGAAGCCCAGTGCTGAAGAACCTCAACTTGACCATCGAGGCGGGTTGGAAGGTGGGCATTGTCGGTCGCACGGGAGCAGGAAAGTCGTCTCTCATTGGAGCACTTTTCCGTCTGGCGCACATTGAGGGAGAAATCCTTATCGATGGCATCGAAACGGGTGCCATTTCTCTGGAGACCCTCCGCACCCGTATTTCGATTATCCCGCAAGATCCGGTTCTGTTTTCGGCGACCATCCGCTACAACCTGGACCCCTTCGAGAGGTATACAGACGCCGAGCTGTGGAGTGCCCTGGAAGATGTGGAGTTACGAGGCGCCATTCCCGGTCTGGATTATATGGTCACGGAACGAGGCAGTAATTTCAGCGTCGGCCAAAGGCAGTTGCTGTGCCTGGCAAGAGCTATACTCCGGAACAACAAGGTCCTGGTGCTGGACGAAGCCACTGCCAATGTGGATCCACAGTGAGTAGAGGAACATGTCTGAGAAGGCTTTAATTAAGAGGTTTGTTCTTTTCCAGAACGGATGCCTTGATCCAGCGCACCATCCGCGTCAAGTTCCAGCAATGCACGGTCCTCACAGTTGCCCACCGACTGCACACTGTCATGGACTCGGACCGCATCATTGTGATGGACGCCGGCGTGGCCGTGGAGTTCGATGTGCCGCACTTGCTGCTCAAAAAATCACGGGGTCACCTCCGTCAGATGGTGGAGGCCACTGGCGGCGAGGCTGATGCCCTGATGAAGGTGGCCAGTGATAGCCACAAGAGGAAGCAACGGCAGCGGGATGAGAGGGATAGCGGGAACAACGATGAAAGCGAAGAATAGGCCGTTCAGTGCTTCCCGAAGGAAAGGCATTTACCCAAAAGATGGTGCTCACATGGCTCAAAAGTGACATGGTTTGTCAGACAGCCGTACCAATACTATCCTCAACTACTCCCACAGACACATCATATGTTATTCATGTTTCATGTAGTTAGTCTTTATGTTAAACTTGTAATCGAAACGTCTAGATATGCTGCCTTAAACGTATTGTACTTAGACCTAATCTTCAACAGGGACTGCGCTTAGCCACTTGTATACAAATCTTTATTGTAGAACGCCAGTGAAAAGTCAGGAAACTTTCAACATGACAACCGAAAGATACTTAAGTCCCCATTCATGGATTAAAACTGCAGAGCACAGACATCCCTTGATTAAAAGTGGGAGAATACTCCACTCCCCCCCACTCGTTAGTTAGTCCTTCCCATGTATAGTATGTACTATATAGGGATATATATTTTGTACTTCTCTGCAATCGTGCAACACCAAAGCACACTCTGTGAACCATTGTACTTGAAACTTAGATAAGAGTTGAAATAAATAATGACAGGATTTATTAATATACCAATAAATGTCATATAAATAAATTATACAATTTAAAATTTAAACATACATTGCCGAATTTATTACAAACAAATGGAAAGTCAATTTAAAATCTATAAAAACGTTCTATGAATATATTTTTTGGATACATAATTGCAGGGTTTATAAAATTATAGAATGATAATAAAACTCGAAACCTAAACAAAGGATTAAAACAACATATTGTGTACAATTTTGTTTGTCTTTTTCTTTAAAACAACTTTAAAATACATGCCTTGGATAAATAGTTAGCGGTACATAATTCCCGAGTTTATTAAAATATAAATTCTATAAAGAGGCAAAGATACAGCCTACGTCCGTAAATTGAGCAAATTTTAATCACTTCCGTGGCGACCTTCGACGTTGACCTGAAACTTTATGACCTAAGGTTTGGCGAGTTTCGTTTGTACTTTTACTTTGCTGCTGTTCGTAAGGAACTGGTGGAGTTCCGTCTGGATAGTGCACCAGGGAGAGTCGACTTTCGCCGGAGAAAAGAGTACCGGCGCTCTGAACCGATCGGGACTTGTCGGGCATGGAAAAGGATCCCACCGGCGTTGAGGTTTTCTGGCGGTCATTGGTGATTCCGGTAGCATAGCTTACTCCGACGCCAGGCGTGTTGTAGGGCGAGCTGTTCGGGGAAAGTGAACTGATGACCGATTTCAGGAAATGTCCTTTTAGGGACTCATCCGAACTCTCCATTGAAGTTTCCCCTGTATTCCCGCGATGTTTAAGCAGCTCCCGGGTGAGGAACTCACGTAGATTCAGAGACCTGCCTAACTGGCTGGCGTCCTGAGCCTGGGAGCTATTGTGGGACCTAGTGCCGCCATCCAATCGGGATTTTCGATGAGGCCTCTCCCAGGACACATCCGTGCTGCTACCTACTTCCACTTCCTGTGGTCTTGTTTGCCTATCCTTTGTTCTGGTGGGTCTGCGGGGCTCCGAAAAGTCCGTGTCACTGGATCCAAGTGGATCTATTCCGCTCTCATTCGGAAGATCATTGGTGTTCGGAGCAACGCTCTCCCGGCGCGTGCTACTGGCCACGTCGTGGGCCAAAGGCGTCACGCTCCCATTGCTGGCCCGGCGAAAGGAGGTCTTCAGGATATTCCGTTGTCGCAGCTCTTCTTCAATGTTGAGAGAATCGGAAGACTCAAGACTAGCACTGTCTATTAACTGCCTCTGGTCAGGAGGTGCGTTGGCTAACAATTTCTGTAGATACTCCCTGCGATTTGGAAACTCCTGCATGTGCACATCCAGCAATCGTAACTGTCTTAGGTCCTCCGGCGCCAGAGTCGTCTCATCATGATGCGGTTGCCCATTAAAGTCTCCATGACACTGTGCATCTCTCATATTATGCAAATAGGCATTTATGCTTGGAAACTCCCGGTAATCCGATCCGCCCGTGCGCTCGTTGATCGCCCTTACCAAGTCATTGAACTCCAGCTCCATTTTCCGGCTCTGGTTGGCGTCAAACTGAGTCAGATCAAGGTTCATTTCCCTGGCGTACTGTTCGAAAGTGGGAAATGGCTGGGGCACTGGTGTGGCGGCCACAATGTGCGATTGGCCTGGAGTCTCTACTTCTGCGATTGTGGAAAGTTCGTGGGCTAGATCTTCAGCATCCAGTTGGGGACTGTATCGCCGGATGGTAGCTGGGGGAGCTTTTGTGCGATGTCGCTGGGCATTGCTGTGAGTTGAGGTAGGCAGGGAGATGGGCTCCACGTCCATTCCAGTCACCTGACCCATGGCCGTTAATGGCCGCGAGTCAGCGATTCCACTGTCCCTGCTGGCCGCTGTAGGTTTATTTTTCTGCAGAGGAAGGGCTTCCGATGTGGACGGTGTCTGTGTATCGCTACGATCCGATACTGTTCGCGATCTCGAATGCGTTGAATGCTGAGACTGTCGTTGAATCTGCCCGGTCGGCAGATCATAATACTCCGTGGACTGCCGTTCCCCATCGCTATTAGATGTGAGGGTAACCTCGACCAGGCGTTGCTTCTCCTCACGCACTTTGGTTATCAGATCCGTAAGTTCGGCGATCCTCTGGGTGCAGTTCTCAGCCAAGCGTTCATAGCGTTCCACTTGCTTTGTTGATTCTTCCTTGCCTTGGGGTTTGGACTTTTCGGCATGGACACTTTTAGGTGGCAGTTTTCCTATAGATTTGGTGGCTACCGACTGAAGTTTCTTTGATTTTTCCGACTCGCTTTTATTAACAATCGGGTTCTTTGCGTCTTGCTTTTGTTTTTGTACAGTTTGTATCCTTTTTCCTTGTTCTCCCTGAAATGGCATACTTGATGTCTGAGGTAGGTTTCCTCCCTGAAGATGTCGACCCTTATTAGATGACGACTGAGGTAGGCTTGCTCCCTGAACTTCCTTTGTCTTTTGAGGTACTTTGTCTTTTTGTTTCGTTTCTTTACTTTTTGGCTGCGAATCGTCCTGGTTACGGATCAGTCTTTCATTCCATATCTCATCGAAGCTTTTGGAACTGGTTTCCTTATCGAAGACCCTTTGGTTTTTCTCAGCCTGCTGCCGCATACGCAACGAGTCCTCCAAATCGTTTATGAAACTGCGATTATCGCTGATGAAAGTCTGGACCTGCTCCAAGCGCTGCTGATCTATGATTGTTTCGTTGGATTCGACAGCTTGGGATTTATTCCTCGACGAGTCGATAATTGATGCCGGAGGAGTGGGCACTTCCGAGGAGCTGACACCGAGATTGTCAATTGACTGTCGGGACATTCCCAGCAACCGTTGGATGTAGTTAACGACCGTGGGATGAAGTGGAGCGGGATCAGAGCCGCAACGAGACGATGCAGCTGAACTGGGGCCTGGATTGAAGCTCTTGTAGCTCACGGCCGGCAGACTTCTGTATGCCGTCGAGTTGGAGTCAATAGAGATTTGCTGGTCCAGCGCCGGGGGGCGCTTTGTAGCTTCCGCTTCTGTCTGCTTTTCTTCCTCTGTGGGTGTGCCCAGAGGAATATCCTTTTCGGAACTTACTATTTCCGAAATTGCTTTGAATTTCGATTTCCCTTTCGGAAGATACTGCTTGACTGTGCCATCGCTTCTTACTTTGATGATTATCTCGACAGGCTTTTCTTCTTTGGGCGTCATCTCCTCTTCTCCAGTGGCTTTTCTGCCCTTCGTTTCCTTGTAGAACTTTCGCAACCGCTTCTCCAGAAGTGCTTCTTTCTGATTTAATTCCGATTCCCGTTCGTTGAGATTTCTTGTTCTTTCAAACAGGATATCCGCACGCTCCTGGCGTATAGAGTTGATCATATCCTGAGCCTTTTCACTCTTTGATCCTTTAGCCTCGCCCGCCTTTAGCTCCTCCAGTAACTGGCTCCGGATCTGTTCGATTCTGTCCAACAAATTTCGTAACTTCATGCATTTCACAGTGTTTGACCCTTCGGATTTAAGGTCCGATCTCAGCTGATTGCTTTGATCATCGACATAATCTAAGAGGATTTCGGTACAGCTTTCGCTACTACCCAGCTCTAGCCTCTCTTTTGGAGTTGGACACGCTCCTACGTTTATGGCTCCTAGATCTTTACTTGATTTGGCTTTCGCCGAAGCTAGTGGACTCAGGTCTTTCACTTCTGGACAAGTAATAATAGTTGGACGCAGTAACATCTCCTCCATAGCTTCGTTCATCTTTTGCTCCCTTCTAACAGCTGCGTCTGCGTATCGATGACTGGCTATGAAGTTTGCCTGGTGAGGAAAATATAAATCGTTTATAAAATATTTATTTACTTCTTTGATTTACTTACATCACTGGGAAGAAGCTGGGGTTGCTGTTGGACTAGGGCATCCAACTTCTCTGTCAACTCAGCACAATCCCTGCGAACTTGTTCGCGTTCCAGAGCTTTCTGACCCCGAGATTCGCTAATTTTTCTAAACAATGAAATGGGTTTTAAAAATATACTAAAGGGATAAGCTTTTTGTTACCTAAGATTATTCAGCTCCTGCTCCCTGAGCTCCCTTAGTTGGTTTTCAACACGCGCATTATCCATGGCATTTGGTTGGCTGGAATCCTGTCCAGTGGAATGTACCGATTGGGTTGGGGCATCATAAGTTCGATGGTATTTATTCCCGTGGTCATAGAATTGAACGCGCCCCGGCTGAGACTGAGTCGTTCTTGGCTCTTGACTCGTAGGAAACGTGGTGGTTGAAGCACAGGAGGTGGTGGCCATACTTGGAGGAGCTGTCACGGCGGGAACAGGAACCGGAAATGGTTGTTGGGCGTACATAGGATGTGGTGGTTGAGGAGGGGGCGGTGGTGGCATAAATTGTGGATGCATAGGATATGGCATCGTATAGGTCATTGCATACGGTTGGGGATAAGGATTCATGCACGGCCCAGTTTGGGGAGGATAGGGAAATGGTGGCATTGGGAATTGTGGATTGGAAGGAATCTTTTGCTGGGATTCTTTCTCTCGTGGCTGATCCTCGCAAATAGTCGATTTTGAAGGAATGTTCTTGCTTTTAGGATTCTTTTGAATTCCCGCATCTATAACTTTGGGCGGACGCGGATTAGTTTTCACTCCTGTTCGTTTCAATGGTTCCGGCTGCCGAGTTGATGATTTAGACTGCGTTTTCTTGGGGGATCCATGTGATGATTTATGCACACTAGCAGTTACTGGCGGAGGAGCTAGCTCCGCCCTTACCGTAACTTTTCTTGGTGACGGTGGCAATGACTTTGTAGGGCTTGGTGGAATAGATCGTCTTGGTTCATCCTCCTCACAGCCTTCTGAGCGTACGGTCCCCATGTTCGCGGTTCTCTTGACGAGGTCTGTTATCTGTGTAAATCTTCGTCTTCGCGGACTTTCTGGAGTCCTTTCCGGGCTTCTGTCCGGACTAGTCCGCACTATGTGGCTAAATTTGCGGTTTGTTTGCATAAAACGATCCCCAATCTCCATGCCGCCTTTTTCATGAAGCGCTTCGCCATCTGAATCGTCAATATCTGCATCCACTATCACAGGCGATGACCTCCGGTGACCTACGCACTCAGTGGGTAAGATCGAGGCGTCATCTTCGCTTGGAGAATCTTCTTCAGGTCCAGGACAACCGCATTTTTTATTCTTATTCGTCGTGGTTTTACCCATATTTGAGCAGCCTTTAAGGCATGATTTTTCAACACCACCAGCCAATCGGTTTTCCTTATCCTCGATTGGAAGGGAGGGCGTTTGTGTACCGGCCGTGACGCGACCTTCAACGTTAAGCTTCATCCCCGTCGTTGGTCGTAGTTCCACATTTGCTCTGCCAGATCTTTTCATGGCTTGCTTGCGGGCATTCTTGATTTTATCGATCTTCTGCTGTTTTAAAACCTCATTCCTTTCGTTTTCCTCCTTTGCGGCTTGATGGGCGGCGCCCACCTGAAAAATGGCTGACCGGTAGTCTTGGTGCTTTTTGACCAAAACATGCTCGCGCCAAGCATTTAGCTCCTTCTGCTTGAGGTCCTCCAAATTTTTGATTTGTTTTTTCTTTTCAGCGGCCACATCCTCTCGTATTTTCCGGGCCAGGTGGTCGGACTTCTCACGCACCTAGAGGCAAGGGAGTAACACCTTAATGTGGGTCATGGAAGTGCGTAATTAAAAGTTGCCCTACCTGCTGTAAACGAGTTATGCGACGCTGGCTCTCAAGATCTTTTCGGACCCTCTCCGGGTCGTCGAGCCTAGTGATGACTTTTCCGAACTTTCCTTTCACAGGTATGTGCAGAGCCATCTGCTCAACTTATTTAGTTAGTTAAGGAAACATTTACAACACAGTTTACTGACACGCAATCGAAATAAATTTGAGTACAAACTCAAACACCAACGTCTTTAAAAATTCCTCCATAGCCCAAGCGGGCGAAGCGCAGGCGCAGGGAAGTCTTGTAATTGCTATCGGTATCGAGAGGCGTTCAATCGATGAATCGCGTGCACAGTGGACTCCTTATTTTGTGATTTTCTTTTTATAAGGGCTATACTAGGCTTATTTATAAATTTTTTCTAAAATAATTTTTAAAAATATATACATTTTTTAATATTGAAAATTATTTTCAATTACTATGTTTTCTCTATCGGACTATCGATATTTCCAGAACTGTGTTCTTATTAGAACAATCGAAATATAGGGAATATCGCCGAAACAGCTGACATTGTTTGGATTACGAGATTGTAAATAAGAATTTTGAAATTATTTTCAACTATTTAAATCATTTGAAATGGCGTATTTATTAAGACAAGCTGTTAGAACGACCGTTCAGAGGTAATCGTGTGAAAAATATAACTATATGATTGCGTAATAAAATTGATTTTCGACAGAAATTTGTTGCAACTGCGGCACGCAACAACCTCATCTGCTGAAGCCGCTAAATCTGAACTGAACGTCCAGGTGAGCGAGAGTTGCCTCAAACGACTCCGCGAAATCTGCACAGATGGATCCTTTCTGCGAGTGACCGTTGAGGGCGGCGGTTGCTCCGGATTCCAATACAAATTTGATTTGGACAACAAATTGAACGAGGATGACCGCCAGTTTGGGGAGGACAAGGCCAAAGTTGTGATCGACACGATTTCCTTGGAATACTGTAGCGGTGCCACGGTTGATTACCACAGCGAACTTATCCGTGCAGGATTCCGCATGGTGGCCAATCCGCTAGCCGAGCAAGGTTGCTCCTGCGGCTCCTCTTTCTCGATTAAATTGTAAAAGTATCTTGTTAAATGGTTTAAATTTTAGCGAATTATTTAATACACATAGAATGTTCAGTTATATACACGTCAACAAAACATGATTTGTTAGTTATTATACACTAATGTACAGCAAAGCAGCAGGGCACAATCGCTCCATACTTTCACACAGTCCAAATCATTTGCAGGCAGCCAGTTGATCGCTAAGGCTGATAACTTGCTCGGTAAGAACGCTGATTTGCTCTTCGTAATTGATGCGAGTTGTGGTCTATAAAGAAAAAAGAATATTAATTTTACTAAAGAAGAAAGAGTCGCAGGATGTAAACGTACCAACTCCTCTTCGAGCATTTGCAGGGCTCCGCCCAAGCTAGCCAGTTGATCCTCTTTGGCCTTCAGTTCATGCGTAGCATTTTCCAAGCAATTTTGTAGGTGTTGCACCTCCAGCTCATAGGATCGTAGCTTCGACTCCGCTTGCGCTTTAAGTCGCAGCAAATCCTCAAACTTTTTGCTAAACATACTGTAGATAAGCTGGTCTTTAGAAGGAGGCTCCGGTGGCTCCTGCAACGAGTCCCGCGCCCGCTGACTTCCCTTGGACTCTGGTTCCGCTGGCCGAACTGTCACGCCCGCTGCAGCCGTGCTGCAACTGCACGTGATGAGATCCTTGGGGTTCGAGACGAATGCTTGGTACGTTTTGGCCATTTCAAGTTGAGCCCTCCAGTGTACCACCTCCTTTTCAAGCTGCGCAATCCGATCCTCTGAACTGTGCTGAGTACTGTTCGTTGGCTGTTGAAGATTGTGGAAGGGAGTAGTGTCGCTGCCTGTGGCACTCAAGGTGTCCTCGCTGCCAAGCTAAAAAATAAAAAAAATTAGCAATAGAACAAAATATTTTCATACTTATCATGTTTTTAATATAAAAACACCAACAACTTTAATTATTCTTTAAAATAAATTTCTTACCATGCTAGCCGCATCTACGAGTTTGGTTTCCAGTTCGCCGTTGCGCTGCTGCAGTGTCTCCATCTCCTTCCGCAGTCGTTTTTCCATCTCGCTTTGGTCGCTGATGCGTTTTTCAAGCTTTTGTTCGAGTGACGCAATGCGCTCCGTGTGCAACAGCAGATCCCGCTCCTTATCGTCAACCTGTGGGTGGTGTTTGGGTTAGTTTCCATCCTACTCTTCCTTTTCACTCTATCCCCCATGGCTTACCAATGAGGTCAGCTGCGCATTCTCCATAATTTTCTTTTGAAGCTCCTCAAAGATGAGCGCTTCCTGGGCGGCGTTTGCCTCGGTATGTGAGTTTGCCGAGGCGTCCCCAAGTGCATCTGGCCGATTCTGGGAGCTACCCATTAGTAAACCACGCCGGTTACCCGTATCCTTTTCTTTTTTTTTGCGCTGCTCGTGCGCTGAGATTTCTTGTTGCAATTGAAAGACCCGCGACTCCAGCTGCTTGTTGCGGAATCCCAGAGAGTCCACTTCCTGCTCCGAGCGCCGCAAGGCAGTGTTGCATTGCTGCAGTTGCTCTTTCAGTCCAATTTCCTTTTCCTGATCCTCCTGAGCCTTCTTCACCGCCTTTCGCAACACAGTCGCATGTGCCCGCAACTAACATAATCCATATTAATTTGATTAATGGGCGTTAACTGTTGCTCTTGGAAAAGTGATAACCAAAACTTACCTTTGAGTATTCACTGGCCAGTAGCTGGTACTTGGCCTCCGGCACGGTGCCCTCCATGGCCACAGGTTTTTCTGCCATTCAGCAGTCAGTGGTCCTCTGGGATGCAGTTCTTACGCCGCTAATACTTAATACTTCTTAATTTAGTTGTTCCAAAACAGAGATATTGTCCATACCCACGTACCATGACAGTGCTGCCATATCAGGGAAATTTAAAGGGGGAATAAGGTTAAATCGTCTAAAAATATCAATAATTCAAAAATGCTCCGAACTTTAAAATAATCTGAGCAGAAGCTTTTAAGTCTATAATTACTGTCATTAAATACATTCTTGAGATATTAAGCATCGGTTCGATTTAGCAAATAGTTTTTGAAGCACTGTGTTCTTAAGCACAGTTAGCGCCATCTGTAGGCCAATACAGGAAGCTGAAGTTGGCCGTTAATAAAATTAGATTGGCAGTTCCAAGCTGTTTGAAATAAAATGTGGGTTTTCTGTTTAAGGTTTAAAAAAGGGTTGATAAAAAATAAGGGTAGCTTGTTATGTATTCTTTTAAATAATAAATAAATTTTAATCGTTTAAAAGTATGTAGATAATAGGAAAGACTTTTTGTAACCTTATGTACTAGTGTACTTCCCTAGTTAAACTTTAAACTGTTTTTGGTTTATCCGCCAAAACGTATTATTTGGTAGCTCATTATTAATTATTTAGAGTCTTAAAGGTTAGACTGTAAAACCGAATTGAATAACGAGACTTAAAGGTGAAAGCAATAAATATAAATGACTGTAAACAAGTTAATAGTTTTTGTTACCTTTTGCATAAGATAATGGGGGCAAAAGGTGTTCCTCCAGTAATATAATTATCATAAAGACTTTCTTAATATTTTACATCCTTTATTAACTAGTTAGTGACATAAATTAGGCTTTCCCTAACAGGTACAAATAATAAGTTTAGTTAACTTAAGAATATATTATCAAAAGGCACTTTTTCGAATAGTTTGTTTGAGAGCTCTCGGAATATGACTCCGAAACTTTTGGCGTATCCAACTTTAAGTTCATTGAATACTGTTTCCCAGTTTTCGTTTAGGAATCGGTTCATGCCGTCCGAGAGGGTCTTGTCATTGAAAAGATTCTCAAAGTTCATGTATACTCGCTTCGGATCGAAGGATACACGGTAATCCTTGAGGCGCATGTACTTGACACCATCCTTTTCGAAGGGTTCTCCAATAAGCCGGTGTTCGATCTTCGTGTTTACCAGAGTCACATTAGCTTTACCGTGACCGGTAATTGGGAGAAGTAGGATACGGCCAGACATCTCATAGTCGCCGATCATTTCAATTCTGTCTGTCCGGCTATCACAGATAATTAAGTGCTTATCCAGATCGGTTCTGAAAGGAATTTATAAAATTATTTGTTTTATATTTAGAAATGAATAAATAAAGCGAAGATGCTTGATAAATATTGATTAAGACGCATAGGAAAATTACCTGTATCGCTGGATCTTGCTGGTGGAAATCATGTCGTGCACCTTCACATTCTTCAATGCCTGTCGCAGGTTTATTGGCGCAGTGCCGGCATCTATAACTAGTTTCTTCACGGACAGCGGCTCCAGGGGCGGAATTCCAAATTCTTTGTTGCCTGCGGATTGTGATTGATTAAAAAAGATGTTCATTAAATTATACGACACCGTACTTACCACTCTTGAGAAGCTGAATGGCTTGGTTAACAGCGTCCACCAGGCACTTGTCGAAATTCGCATCTCGTTTGCACTTTGGAAAGCCTTCGGCTGGAAGAGACAGAAGACTCTTGGTCATGACATTGAAAGTGAGATCTCGTGGTTTTTGTGGATTGCGGAAGTTCCCGGGGCTCGGGCCAGCCTGCAATTGGGCCAGCATCCGACCAGAGTTCGTTGGCCACAAAACTTGTTTGTAAACAAAACAAAAGTATCCACGACAAAAACAAAACGGCATGAGAAAAAAGAAGTGAACTAGCATATTTTAGTGGCTCAATGTCAAGTTGAAGCGCACGCTGCGAGGGACCATTTATCATGAATATATTGAACAGACGACGGCATTCATGACCTATGCCAACGGTTTCATTAATCAGCTACACTCGGCAAAATCTTCACTCTGATGGAATGCTTTGGAATCAATTAACACACATCAACGCTTCGGTTACATGTCCTTCTCCGGCGGCGGCGGGTGAAGCATTTGTGTCACAAGCGGAAGTGTAACTGTGGATGTGGATCAGTGGACTGTCTACAAAACTGGCTGGCCAAGAGCAACCTGTTTGCAGTCGATGGTTACAATTGCATAACATGTGTGTACGGTGTACGGTAGAGGAAAAATACAACAAATGCAGCCCAAAGATGATCTTGATCGAATTTTGCCATTTAGCAACACGCGAATTAGTAACATAAGGCGTATGTTTTATATCTTTTTTTAATTAACTAATTTAACTCATTTATAATTGCCAAAGTAGAAACAAAAAAGGGTAATTACTTTGTGTGGTTTACATAAAAGTTTTCTTGGAAATTTAATTTCAGACTTAAGAGTTAAAGTTTTAATTGCTTTAATATTCTTTTATTGTTAGTACTAACCTTAGGGTAATTCTAATTTTAATTTAAATGTCTAGAGTATAAAATTTAATAGTTTCAAGTTTAATCTATTTAGATGTGGTTCCCTTTAATCTTTAAACCCTTAGTCGTTTGTTTACAAAAAGATAGACAGCTATTTTTTAAAATTGGCTATAGTAAATGTATTTATTTTACACATGCCTGCCAAATACTTTGGAGATTTTTACAGGGATCAACCTTGAGGTGTTTAGGCCAAGACCCCAGTTCCAAAACAATATTAACTAGCCATCAGCAATATCGATCACGTTTTAACCGTAAATGTGTAGACACACCAAATAGTTATAGCCGAAGCATAAAGCAAAAACAAATATAATGATAATTTTTTGCACATTTAACACGCGGCAATAGTTAACGAAGTTTTAGCCGATTTTTTTTTTTAAATTTGTTGTTTGTTTGGTATTATACTTACGCAAATCTTGGGCTGTTGTTACAGTTAATTCCTGCGCAATCGCAGCGATTAGCAGTAGCAGTAGCAGCGTATATTTTGACATTTCTGGTCCGGTGGAAGTACGAAATCGGATGCAGAAATCCAAGTTGGCCAAGTTGAACTTTTGATTGAGACTTTTAAGAAAAACGCGCACAAAATCCGACAGGTGACAGGTGGTTCTGGCCGGCGACTTATCACTGTGTACATGGGATGCGTTGAGCGCTCGTCTTTTTATACCGAGCTTGAGCAGTCAAAATCGTAAAGCAGTCAGAAAGCTCTCAGCAGCGAATCGATGGATTTTCAATTGACCAAGCTTTGGCCCATAAAGCGAGTGACTGACTGAGCCAGCGAGCGAGCCACTCTTGCTTTACGGCTCGCCGCTTTCGGCCATGCAACCACCGCGGCGGGGCGCATCCAATGGCCAAGTCACCCGGCAACCCTGCGCTGTGCTGCACTGCCCTTTCAATTTCATTTTCGCTCTGGTTCATTGAACTTTACATACATTCCATATTTACGGTCAGTTTGTAAGCGTAATTGAGGGTTTTTGTATTTTTTTCCCATGCTGCATTTTGCCGGTAGTCATACCGGTCATCAATTTTTACGCACATGCTGCATTTGTTGTCTTATTCAATAAATAACTAGCATTCCGTACCTATCTATGTTCGAGGAAGTCAAAATCCATAGACCTGCTTTAGACACCTTAACGGGCTAAGAGTGTATTCTACAAATGCACAGGAACTAGTTTTTTTTTTGGGCCAATATTTGGCAACATTTGTATGCTGCAATCAAAGCAGGAATTCTGTTCAAATGGGTAATTTATTGGGAGGTTAGGAAATTAGGTAATATAAAAGAAGGTGGTAAAATATATCGAAAGAATAAATTGGATAATAAAAATAAAAACTTATTTTTTGTTCATATGCTAAAACTATTATTTCTTTACATTTTTATAATAGTTCTCATAAACTTTTAAAAATTAAAAGATTCTAAAAGTCGCTTCTTTTTGAGTTTAAAGATTTTACAACACTGTTTCATGATTTAAATTCAAGTTTGTTGCCTAAGTCTTTCGTTCGGCCAGCACATTCTTTTTTCTAACTGCTCAACGTAGCGAGCATGTGTGCGTGTAAATTGGTCTTTTTTGTGTCTATGAGCTCTTAGCCAAAAATAAACAGCCCAAGGACCTCCGCAGGTGTCTATGGAAACTGTTGCAATTGTTGTTCAAATATAAACAAAAGATATGTGAGTGCTTAATGGCCATAGTATGTGTGTGTTTGTGTGCTAAGCTAGCCGGCTAACGGTATATATGGACTGATGATTGGTGATAAAGTACCAGGCCTGGCCATAAGAGCGGGAACCGGTTGTCGTCAGTCGGTTCATAACATTCTTCGAGCACGCAATCTAAGAGTTGGGCAGCAATTCCCAAAAATCGTTGAAGGCAGCACAGAAACGAGATATAGGCTTCATTAGAATGCAGCGATGCTATTGTGGTTCGATGAGTTCGGCGGCAGTGCAGCATCAACAGAATTGTTTTCCCTTGCAACAGCAGCAGCTTCTTCGGGATACGCATCCACGTGGCGATCTTATGTCTGTCGCATCATCGTCGCGACAAAGTCTTCGACCCACCCAGTTTGTGAAACGACCGAGCCTCAAAAGTGCACCCACATATGGTTTAGGCCACTCCAACACTGGACTGGGCAATGACTTCAGTCGACGGAATTCGGTGGCCACCACGGTGAGTCACTGTTCCAGCTGTAGTTGCAGCTCCACCCAGCAACGCCAACAGAGCAGGGCCAAAGTATTGCGATGGGGCTGGGAAAAAACAGGAGGTGTTGACACCAGCAACAAAAGCTTCATTACCGGCAGTACCAACAACATCTACGAAAAGTACACGGAGAATCGGCGTATCTACGAGCAGAGCGCATGCGTCGCCAGTCGTCAGATGAGCCAAGGTCAGGGTCAGGTTCATAGTTCCAGCTCATCGTCATCACCACGCCCAGGGCCCAGCCCAATGAATAAACATTCTACAGACGAGCTCCAACAGCTTCAAGCCCTACAGCAGTTCCGCCTCTCGAACGTAAGAGATTGCTTCAGTGATGGCCGCCTGGATGAGCTGCGTCTGCAGCAGGCCTATGATAAATTGACTGGCCACAAAATGGACAAGTGGAACAAGAACAGGGCGAACGAGACCCGGCAACAGGAAATGAATGCTACAACCACGCCCTATGCCTTACGTCAGAGGTTGCTGCAACTGAGATTGCAGGAGGAGCAGAAAAGTGGCAGGGGAACTGGGGCTGTATGTGCCCCTCTGGAGAAAAGTTGTGCCTTGAGATACAATTGAAAAGAGACTTCCAACTTAATAATTGTCAGGGAACGTTCTTAATCAACGACCTCGAATTAAAGTAGTTAAGGAAATAGTTTTTAATAAATAATGACTGTTAAAGATCAATAATAAATAATCATTTAAAATTATTTGTTTTATTTTAATAAATAGAGTAAGAACTAAATAAATCATTTTCTATTTTTTAAATAAAACTCAAAGTATTTTTTTATTGCTAGTATTTATTTCATTTTCCTTTTAATAAAACAGTGCTATTTTGTTACAAGTGCTTCATCATTGTGTTCTCTTTGTTTAATGTTTACTTTTTGCTTAATTTTTTTTTTTCATTTTTTATTTGTTGATTTTTTTTGTTGGGCTTTTCACATTCTTGCAATTTTTAGTTTTTTGCTTCTGAATGAATTTTTATGTGTTATTCCCCTTTGTCTTTTTAAATTTCTCCTTTGAATTTAATTACATTCTGACTTTCTTTGATTTTTGTTTTTTGCATTATGCGATATTATGTTATAAATTTCTTATGTCTTGTGTGGGGTTTGCAAACAGCCGATCTCGTACTGAATCGCGATATTTCAATTACATATATAGTCGTAAATATACGTTGAATTCATTACAACATTTAACAGAGTACTAGAGTGTGAATTAGACGAGGACTCGCTTTGGGTTTCGTATTTCATATTCGTTTCAGCATTTTGCTTTTGTTTTTGTTTGGTTTTTGGTTTTTCCATAGGTTACGCGATTGTTTTTAGTGGGGTCTGGTTGGCTGAGGGGCGGGCGGGGGATTATAAAAACGAAACCATTTTCGGGTAAGTTGCGTCAGGTTGCATCGCATCGGATCGCTCACTGTCTGCCTGGGCATAATACTTGTAATTGTAAATATAATTGAATGTGGCGGCCTTTAGCACTAGAATGTACCGACTGTAGTCGTAGAATGCAAATACATACATAAAGTATACAAGTACAGTGTACAATAATTGTGTCTGTCTGTCTGTTTGTGTCTGTTGCGCGCTGTTGTTTACAAATATTTTATTACTTGTATATTTTTTTTTTCTCTCGTTTTTGCATGCATTAAATGTGTGCTTGCTTTCGTTTTGAAAGGGGTGGCATGGGGTGGTAACATTATCTGCCTGACATCAGTAAAGGGCACACAGTGCCGTTCAAAAGTTCACACAGCAACGTAACTCTAACGAGTTTGTTAATTTGTGTCGCCTGCAGTAATTAATATTATAAAATCGTTCATTCCATTGAAGCTTCAATTCTTTTAAACTTTCTTCTGTACAATGACCGACTTTATTTATTGTGCGCTTGTTATGCGAATTTGTGTGGGTGTTGTTGTTAACGCAAACAGTTAAAAAAATATACACATTGTTTGTTTATTTTAATATTTTTGGTGTAAACAATTCAAACTTATGTAGCTTGCAACTAAAATTGCTTTCTCGCTTTAAAACTAAGTAAACATGTATCGATGTAAAATTTCTAAGACAATATTACAAAAATAAATCGTGCTTTGCTTCTTTACATATGTAATATGTAGTTTCCCCACACATTTCTTAAAAGCATTCTCGTACAGTGTATTAACGTAAAAGTTAACATTTTTACCATTTGCTAATTTCTTTTAGATACGTAAAATAAAGGAAGAACATAGGAATAGTTAAAAACCATTGCCAAAGATTGTTAAAAGTCGCGCATTTCGAGTGTCTACTGCCTTTGCAAGCAAGCTTAAAAAAAATGCAGTGCAAGATGCAAGAAATGCAAAACAAAATACAACCGGTGCGTGCACTATTCGTACATACTGTACGGGTGATCTATGCGTGTGGGTGTCTGTGTTTCTGTGTTGGCTTTGCGCAAGGAGAAACTATAACAAAATTAATACATTAGGAGATAAAATATTCTTGCTTATGCAGTGTCTTACACTACAATTAGTTTGAACTAAAGTGTTTCGATTTGTGTTTTGTTGTTTTTGTTTCTTTCAAATTAAAAATAGGCTAATTTGTATAGATTCATATACCCCTTATAACGTTGCTCACGATTCGATTACACGTATTCGATAAAAACAAACTTTTGCGTCTTCCGTTGGATGTGGACTCGGAATACCTTCCCATTCCTCCCGTTTTGTAATATTTTCTTGGGCTTTCATTCTTGTGCTTTCTTCGGGGTGAGCTGCGTTTATTTTTTCTTGTTTTTATTGTTGGCGCCGCGGGGCGGTGTCAACGGACGTCCTGAGCTGCCAAAGTTGGGATAAACAAAACGTCGCTTATCGGCGGGTTTCAATATCTGAAATGAGCACATTAGTGTGTCGTCCACGGACATCATGGCACCTACAAAAAATGTTTAAAAAGGCATTAATTAAATCATCAATTAGGTGACGTTCTGATCTATTAATTGAACAACGAAATGCGCATTTCGTAAATGACAGTTTAAAATTGAATCTGATTGCCAGCTTTCACTTGTGACGGGTTATCTGAGAGATCAACCCTGAGGTATATATTTAAAAATATATTCCCATAGATCGGGGTATATCTCGGACTGAAGTCCAAAGATTAGCACTCACCCGCATTGTCAAACTCGCCGCAATAGTTGGGCGCTGAGAAGAGCGTCACCAGCTGACGCTTGGCAAAGAATTCATAGCCATCCTCCACCACCTGATGAGCACGGCAGATCAGGTCAAATTCGTGTTTCTGTAAAAATTTACCCACAACCTGAAACAAGAAATACTTTAGTTACATGACTTAAAGAAATATTCATATGCCAGGTTACCTCAGCTCCAAAAGTGAAGCTAACACCGCGATCATTCTCGCCCCATCCCATGGTGTCTTTGTCTGGATCGGACCAGAGCAGATCGCATAACAGGCCCTGGTCGGGTACATCTGTGGGCCGCATTATACGACGGATCTGCTCCATAGACGAAAGATCCGGACTCAGGCCGCCGTGGCAACAGAATATCTTTTCGTCCACGATGGCCGCCACTGGCAGACAGTTGAAGCAGTCCGTGAACGTCTTCCACAGTTTAATAGTGTACCGACGCTTGCACTCGTCGTAGAACCTGTCAGGGAAATGCAATAATAACATGACTCATATATCGACACAGGCAATGGGAAAAGTACCATTTGTGAAATTAGATCTAAGCAACTGAATTCCGATTATAGTAAAGGTAAACTACTGGGTGTGCTGATACATAAATAAACGTTTCTTATTGATTAAATAAGAGTAATAGCATTTTTTTTAAATGAGCATTATGAATTTAAAACAGACACAAGCACAACCGTATTGGTAGTGTACTAGCACCTGCCTTACACATATTATATTTCATAAGAATCAAGGCGCACATTACGTGTAAAAATGTGCTGAAATGTAAAACTTTTTAAAAGACCACAATTTATTCGAAATAAAAATAAGAAAAGCTTAAAAAAAACTCGGCTGTTATCTTCTAATTTGCACTTTTTCCCTTTATTTTTGTAGATTATAACTCACCCGTAGATGCGGTTAATACTGGCGCATTCATGGTTACCGCGCAGTAAGAAAAAGTTCTCCGAATATTTAATCTTATAGGCCAACAGAAGGCATATTGTCTCCAGGGACTGCTTGCCACGGTCGACGTAGTCACCGAGGAACAAGTAGTTCGACTCCGGGGGAAATCCACCGTACTCGAACAGACGCAAAAGGTCATAATATTGTCCGTGGATGTCACCGCAAATCTTCAGTGGCGCCTCCAACTCCAGAAGAATCGGTTGCGACAGGAATATTTCGCGGGACTTTAGGCACAGGCTGCGAATCTCGCTTTCTGACAATTGCACATTTTTCCCCGGACGTGCTCCGCGCACTGCAAAAGGTCCGTAGATAAGAAAATAATACGGATTATGGGGAAGAAGCAAGGGGGTTTGGGGAAAGCACTTTACCTTCCAGCAGACGCGAGATAATGCTGTCAATGTTCATAATATCCGACATCCCGAATGGAGCTTATCTGGTACTGTTGCTGTTACTGATTTCGCTGTTGGTGCTACTGCTGTTTCTGTTGATTCCGCCGTAATTCCAGCGCGAGCTTATGTATTTTCGGTATACGTTATGTATGTTATTTCATCGATGGGGGACGGGTGTGTGCGTGCGCGTGTGTGTGTTCGGATGGAAATTACAGTTGCACGCTTTTGGTTACGGGTTTCCACGTCGGCCTGCTGCTGCCAGAGATTCACTGCCTCGGTTGTTGGTACTGCGCCATGTACGTTGGCCGTTCTAAATGCTTTTCCTCCGCTGCAACAGCCTTTTATTGCATTTATTGCTATATATATTATTCTTGCGTACTACAAAATTTTCTCCTACGCAGAGCTGCCAGATAATGGTTATCAATTCACGGAGTGATGCCACCGCGACTTTTTCATTTTTCTGGCAGCACCATGCGCTTTTCTTTGCCGGAGTCGCCCTGTAAGCTAATGCTTTCAAAATCTTGTTTTCAAAAACTTACACAGAGTTTATAGTAAATCAGGATATTTTAAAAATTTTTAAATATTATAGGGCACTTTTCTTTTATTTTCTTGGAGTCTTAATAATGAAAAATATTGTTTTTAATGAAAAAAAATAAACCTTAAACCAAAGGTTTAATTAATTATTTGTAGTCTTCATCGCTTTCATTGAAACTTTTTCCACTATTAAGGGTGTTGAACATCACCCGCTTTCGAGGTAGGGGCACTGGCTTAGAACTTAAAGAAGGCTTGGAAGCTCCACGGGTTGTGGCCACCGGCTTGACCAGAATCTCCTCTAAACGTGCTTTAAAGTCCCGACCAATCGAGCGCTGGTGCGGACTAGAACTACGAGATTGCGATTCTTCGCTACCTTCTTCTTCATCGTGAGAGGTATGTGGAGATAAATCTTCCTCAGATTTTTCAGATGTTCCAGCTTTCAGCACGCCACGCTTTGGAGCTTCAATGGGTTTCAACGGAGTCTTGTGTTTGAGTATTACTTGGGCACGTTCAGAGAGCCGTGCGGAGCATAGCTTCTCCACAAACTTGCGTATGCGATTCCGGGTAGCATAGAATTGTGGATAGTGCTAGATGGATAGAATATTAAAGGTAATGCTTTTTTATACCATTTAAACATACCAATTTTATTTTGTTCCTTTGTTCAGCTAATTCAGAATTAACTCTTTTGAGCGATGTGTGAGAAATACCCTTGGACTTTAAATCAAAACCGTGGGGACTCAGTTTACGGTTCACCAACTTGCGGGCATCTTTCCGGGTAAGGGGCTTAGGAGGAGCCCTAATAAAACATTTTATAAGATATACCGTAAATTTAAGATAATAATAAAAGTCGTACCTTGTTATCCTCACGGGAGGTTTAGTAGCTGTTGACGGTCTATGACTTTCTTTGTGGCCCTCAGACTCTGAGCTGGAAATCTCGCTCCCCTCCTCCGTAAGGCTTCGTTCTTCTTCCAGAGCTTCCTCTTGGCTAAGACTTTCGCTAATATCCGTGGTTTCCCTAGTTTCCAGTTTTTTGGGAGCGGAAACAACAACAGGCTTGGTAAAAGTTGGATGGCTTCCGGAACTTTCGCCACTTGGTTGCTCTACCGTCTTTTTCTCGTGAACTTGAACTTGAGTAGTCTTCTGGATTTTCGTAGATTCCCTGGGCGCTTCTTCAATGGAGTAAGTGTCATCATCGTGTTTCTCATTTACAAATTCCCTTTCCACTTGCTTTCGGATGCGATCCATGCTGCTTTCTTCTTTCTGGGTAATTGGTTTTGGTATTTTAGATGCGTTTGGAATAATTTTAACAGGTTCTGGTTGCTCTTGTCTAGCACTTAGTTGCTTGAGCTCCCGTTCTAATGCTTCTAATTTATCCTTGTAGCCCATTTCCAAGTGATATACCACTTCCTCCAGCTTATTGGCACTGATCTTACCAATCTCTGCGACTTTTTCGGTAAGTATGCGTTCCAAATCCTCCAGATTGGGAGTGGCCACTCTATCCTCCAAGGGGGGCGTAGTCGCGGAAGTCTGTTTACTTTGCTCGAGAGCATGACTAAGACCTTCAAGCTTTTTATTAATATCCTGAAAATGAAAAGTCATTATGTGTACTTGTTAACATTAAAGCCTATGATCTCACCTGAATAAAAACCTCGTTGTTTTCCTTTAGTTGCAGTTGCCATTCCTCAAAGTTGCTAAGACGCTCGGCAAGTCCTGTCAGCTGCTGCTTGCGCTCGGTGGCTTCGCTCTCCCTGGAATCTTCGCTGTTCTCGTCCTTCTCCTTTGACTCGGCCAGGTTGCTTTGAATGCCAACGGTACGCTGCTCCTGGCGAGGACTTACTCGCTTCGACCCTCCAGTGCTACGCTCCTTGATGTTTCTCTCGGCGGCATTGAGGCGTTCTTTTAGCTGCTTGATTTCCAGCTCCATTTTAATAGTATTGATTAAATGGACGTCGTTGTCCTTGTCTTTATCCTTATCCTTGTCCTTGCCAGGAGCTGAAGTGAGGCTGGGCGATTGCGGGGCGATGCGATGTTTGCGACCAATGTGGATATTTAAGGCCTCGTTACTGATAAAGTTCTTCGGACACAAGTGGCATGGGTAGACAACCTCCCTTATTGCCTCGATCTGGGTTATTCTTTTGTGCAACTGTACCACCTCGTTGTTGGATTCTCCCAACGACTTCCGGAGAGTTGCGATCTCTTGCTGGGCAGAAGTATGAGCCTCCTTCAAGTCAGACACACATTCATCCAAATATGTGCGACAGCAGATAAGGTACTGAATAGCATACTGCGACATCACAAAGTACTTGGCAATTCCGCTGTCTAGGATGTGAGTTTCCAAAACAGTTCCCAAGGGTGCCTCCGATAGGTGTCCCAATGCCTTGTCCACCAACTCGAAATTCTGTTCCTTCAGAATTCTATCGGTTTCATAGGAGCCTTTAGGAATTAGGTTGTCAAAGAATTTTATAATATAAGGAATATTTTGACAAATTACCCATTAATCTCCAGTCCAAAGGACCGTCGCGGAACTGCCGCAGCTTAAAGCCAGTTTCTCGGACCATTTGCGGAAAGTTGCCCTTGAAGCCCATTTCTCTGATTCATCCGGTGTCAGAAAAAAATTGAAAGTTGTTTACTTCGCCCTCGCCCTCTTTGTTTTGCTTCCGTTTTTTGCAAAAGTTCGCTTTCTACTGCCCTGGGTCTTTGCTCCACTTTGCTTTCTCCTATTTTTTGGGTGTGCGTTGTCAAGGTAACTGCGTTGCCAGGACAACGAATTGTCAGTGGTTGGTTCTTGCTCCGATTGTGGTTGTTAACTTGGCTTAGTAAGGGGTTGGTAGCGTTTCCGATTTTGATCGGAAATTGCGGTTGTATTATTGCTTCAATTAAAGTTTTTCCCAATCTTGCATTATTGTGAATGAATGCATATACGGAGAATATGACTTTATCTAGCCAAGAGCGAAGGCCAATCTTCCAATTTTGATCCGAATCTTAAGGGGAATACCTTAAAGGATTTGTGGATCAATTCTCTACGAATCTGCATCAAAATCTAGAAACAAAATATTTTTTGGATTTTTTGTCAAATTTTATGGGGGGATCCCCTTCAAAATTATGAAGAATGCATGGAAGTGCCATATGAGCCACAGCGAAGGCCATATCTCTCCCAAGGGGAATACCTTAAACGATTTGTGGATCAATTCTCTACGTATCTGCATCAAAATCTAGAAACAAAATATTTTTTGGATTTTTTGTCAAATTTTATGGGGGATCCCCTTCAAAATTATGAAGAATGCATGGAAGTGCCATATGAGCCATATCTCTCCCACTTTTCATCCGAATATTAAGGGGAATACCTTAAACGATTTGTGGATCAATTCTCTACGAATCTGCATCAAAATCTAGAAACAAAATATTTTTTGCATTTTTTGTCAAATTTTATGGGGAATACCCTTCAAAATTATGAAAAATGCATGGAAGTGCCATATGAGCCATATCTCTCCCACTTTTCATCCGAATATTAAGGGGAATACCTTAAACGATTTGTGGATCAATTCTCTACGTATCTGCATCAAAATCTAAAAACAAAATATTTTTTGGTTTTTTTGTCAAATTTATGGGGGGATCCCCTTCAAAATTATGAAGAATGCATGGAAGTGCCATATGAGCCACAGCGGAGGCCATATCTTTCCCAATTTTCTCCCGAATCTTAAGGGGAATACCTTAAACGATTTGTGGATCAATTCTCTACGAATCTGCATCAAAATCTAGAAAAAATATATTTTTTGGATTTTTTGTCAAATTTTATGGGGGGATCCCCTTCAAAATTATGAAGAATGCATGGAAGTGCCTTATGAGCCACAACGGAGGCCATATCTCTCCCAATTTTCATCCGAATCTTAAGGGGAATACCTTAAACGATTTGTGGATCAATTCTCTACGAATCTGCATCAAAATCTAGAAACAAAATATTTTTAAGATTTTTTGTCAAATTTTATGGGGGATCCCCTTCAAAATTATGAAAAATGCATGGGAGTGCCATATTGGCCACAGCGAAGGCCATATCTTTCCGAGTTTTCATCCGAATCTTAAGGGGAATACCTTAAACGATTTGTGGATCAATTCTCTACGTATCTGCAGCAAAATCTAGAAACAAAATATTTTTTGGATTTTTTGTCAAATTTTATGGGGGGATCCCCTTCAAAATTATGAAGAATGCATGGAAGTGCCATATGAGCCACAGCGGAGGCCATATCTTTCCCAATTTTCTCCCGAATCTTAAGGGGAATACCTTAAACGATTTGTGGATCAATTCTCTACGAATCTGCATCAAAATCTAGAAACAAAATATTTTTAAGATTTTTTGTCAAATTTTATGGGGGATCCCCTTTCAAAATTATGAAAAATGCATGGGAGTGCCATATTGGCCACAGCGAAGGCCATATCTTTCCGAGTTTTCATCCGAATCTTAAGGGGAATACCTTAAACGATTTGTGGATCAATTCTCTACGAATCTGCATCAAAATCTAGAAACAAAATATTTTTTGGATTTTTTGTCAAATTTTATGGGGAACACCCTTCAAAATTATGAAAAATGCATGGAAGTGCCATATGAGCCACAGCGGAGGCCATATCTCTCCCAATTTTCATCCGAATCTTAAGGGGAATACCTTAAACGATTTGTGGATCAATCTGCATCAAAATCTAGAAACAAAATATTTTTTGGATTTTTTGTCAAATTTTATGGGGGGATCCCCTTCAAAATTATGAAGAATGCATGGAAGTGCCATATGAGCCACAGCGGAGGCCATATCTCTCCCAATTTTCATCCGAATCTTAAGGGGAATACCTTAAACGATTTGTGGATCAATTCTCTACGAATCTGCATCAAAATCTAGAAACAAAATATTTGTTGGATTTTTTGTCAAATTTTATGGGGGATCCCCTTCAAAATTATGAAAAATGCATGGAAGTGCCATATGAGCCACAGCGGAGGCCATATCTTTCCCAATTTTCTCCCGAATCTTAAGGGGAATACCTTAAACGATTTGTGGATCAATTCTCTACGAATCTGCATCAAAATCTAGAAACAAAATATTTTTAAGATTTTTTGTCAAATTTTATGGGGGATCCCCTTTCAAAATTATGAAAAATGCATGGGAGTGCCATATTGGCCACAGCGAAGGCCATATCTCTCCCAATTTTCATCCGAATCTTAAGGGGAATACCTTAAACGATTTGTGGATCAATTCTCTACGAATCTGCATCAAAATCTAGAAACAAAATATTTTTTGGATTTTTTGTCAAATTTTATGGGGAATACCCTTCAAAATTATGAAAAATGCATGGAAGTGCCATATGAGCCACAGCGGAGGCCATATCTCTCCCAATTTTCATCCGAATCTTAAGGGGAATACCTTAAACGATTTGTGGATCAATTCTCTACGAATCTGCATCAAAATCTAGAAACCAAATTTTTTTTGGATTTGTGGTCAAATTTTATGGGGAATACCCTTCAAAATTATGAAAAATGCATGGAAGTGCCATATGAGCCACAGCGGAGGCCATATCTCTCCCAATTTTCATCCGAATATTAAGGGGAATACCTTAAACGATTTGTGGATCAATTCTCTACGAATCTGGATCAAAATCTAGAAACAAAATATTTTTTGGATTTTTTGTCAAATTTTATGGGGGGATCCCCTTCAAAATTATGAAAAATGCATGGAAGTGCCATATGAGCCACAGCGGAGGCCATATCTCTCCCAATTTTCATCCGAATCTTAAGGGGAATACCTTAAACGATTCGTGGATCAATTCTCTACGAATCTGCATCAAAATCTAGAAACAAAATATTTTTTGGATTTTTTGTCAAATTTTATGGGGAATACCCTTCAAAATTATGAAAAATGCATGGAAGTGCCATATGAGCCACAGCGGAGGCCATATCTCTCCCAATTTTCATCCGAATCTTAAGGGGAATACCTTAAACGATTCGTGGATCAATTCTCTACGAATCTGCATCAAAATCTAGAAAAAAATATTTTTGGATTTTTGTCAAATTTTATGGGGGATCCCCTTCAAAATTATGAAAAATGCATGGAAGTGCCATATGAGCCACAGCGGAGGCCATATCTCTCCCAATTTTCATCCGAATCTTAAGGGGAATACCTTAAACGATTCGTGGATCAATTCTCTACGAATCTGCATCAAAATCTAGAAAAAAAATATTTTTTGGATTTTTTGTCAAATTTTATGGGGGGATCCCCTTCAAAATTATGAAGAATGCATGGAAGTGCCATATGAGCCACAGCGGAGGCCATATCTCTCCCAATTTTCATCCGAATATTAAGGGGAATACCTTAAACGATTTGTGGATCAATTCTCTACGAATCTGGATCAAAATCTAGAAACAAAATATTTTTGGATTTTTGTCAAATTTTATGGGGGATCCCCTTCAAAATTATGAAGAATGCATGGAAGTGCCATATGAGCCACAGCGGAGGCCATATCTCTCCCAATTTTCATCAGAATTTTAAGGGGAATACCTTAAACGATTTGTGGATAAATTCTCTACGAATCTGGATCAAAATCTAGAAACAAAATATTTTTTGGATTTTTGTCAAATTTTATGGGGATCCCCTTCAAAATTATGAAAAATGCATGGAAGTGCCATATGAGCCACAGCGGAGGCCATATCTCTTCCAATTTTCATCCGAATCTTAAGGGAAATACCTTAAACGATTTGTGGATCAATTCTCTACGAATCTGCATCAAAATCTAGAAACAAAATATTTTTTGGATTTTTTGTCAAATTTTGTGGGGGATCCCTTCAAAATTATGAAAAATGCATGGGAGTGCCATATTGGCCACAGCGAAGGCCATATCTTTCCGAGTTTTCATCCGAATCTTAAGGGGAATACCTTAAACGATTTGTGGATCAATTCTCTACGAATCTGCATCAAAATCTAGAAACAAAATATTTTTTGGATTTTTTGTCAAATTTTATGGGGAACACCCTTCAAAATTATGAAAAATGCATGGGAGTGCCATATTGGCCACAGCGAAGGCCATATCTCTCCCAATTTTCATCCGAATCTTAAGGGGAATACCTTAAACGATTTGTGGATCAATTCTCTACGAATCTGCATCAAAATCTAGAAACAAAATATTTTTTGGATTTTTTGTCAAATTTTATGGGGAATACCCTTCAAAATTATGAAAAATGCATGGAAGTGCCATATGAGCCACAGCGGAGGCCATATCTCTCCCAATTTTCATCCGAATCTTAAGGGGAATACCTTAAACGATTTGTGGATCAATTCTCTACGAATCTGCATCAAAATCTAGAAACCAAATTTTTTTTGGATTTGTGGTCAAATTTTATGGGGAATACCCTTCAAAATTATGAAAAATGCATGGAAGTGCCATATGAGCCACAGCGGAGGCCATATCTCTCCCAATTTTCATCCGAATATTAAGGGGAATACCTTAAACGATTTGTGGATCAATTCTCTACGAATCTGGATCAAAATCTAGAAACAAAATATTTTTTGGATTTTTTGTCAAATTTTATGGGGGATCCCCTTCAAAATTATGAAAAATGCATGGAAGTGCCATATGAGCCACAGCGGAGGCCATATCTCTCCCAATTTTCATCCGAATCTTAAGGGGAATACCTTAAACGATTCGTGGATCAATTCTCTACGAATCTGCATCAAAATCTAGAAACAAAATATTTTTTGGATTTTTTGTCAAATTTTATGGGGAATACCCTTCAAAATTATGAAAAATGCATGGAAGTGCCATATGAGCCACAGCGGAGGCCATATCTCTCCCAATTTTCATCCGAATCTTAAGGGGAATACCTTAAACGATTCGTGGATCAATTCTCTACGAATCTGCATCAAAATCTAGAAAAAAATATTTTTGGATTTTTTGTCAAATTTTATGGGGGATCCCCTTCAAAATTATGAAAAATGCATGGAAGTGCCATATGAGCCACAGCGGAGGCCATATCTCTCCCAATTTTCATCCGAATCTTAAGGGGAATACCTTAAACGATTCGTGGATCAATTCTCTACGAATCTGCATCAAAATCTAGAAAAAAAATATTTTTTGGATTTTTTGTCAAATTTTATGGGGGGATCCCCTTCAAAATTATGAAGAATGCATGGAAGTGCCATATGAGCCACAGCGGAGGCCATATCTCTCCCAATTTTCATCCGAATATTAAGGGGAATACCTTAAACGATTTGTGGATCAATTCTCTACGAATCTGGATCAAAATCTAGAAACAAAATATTTTTTGGATTTTTTGTCAAATTTTATGGGGGGATCCCCTTCAAAATTATGAAGAATGCATGGAAGTGCCATATGAGCCACAGCGGAGGCCATATCTCTCCCAATTTTCATCAGAATTTTAAGGGGAATACCTTAAACGATTTGTGGATAAATTCTCTACGAATCTGGATCAAAATCTAGAAACAAAATATTTTTTGGATTTTTTGTCAAATTTTATGGGGGATCCCCTTCAAAATTATGAAAAATGCATGGAAGTGCCATATGAGCCACAGCGGAGGCCATATCTCTTCCAATTTTCATCCGAATCTTAAGGGAAATACCTTAAACGATTTGTGGATCAATTCTCTACGAATCTGCATCAAAATCTAGAAACAAAATATTTTTTGGATTTTTTGTCAAATTTTGTGGGGGATCCCTTCAAAATTATGAAAAATGCATGGGAGTGCCATATTGGCCACAGCGAAGGCCATATCTTTCCGAGTTTTCATCCGAATCTTAAGGGGAATATCTTAAACGATTTGTGGATCAATTCTCTACGAATCTGCATCAAAATCTAGAAACAAAATATTTTTTGGATTTTTTGTCAAATTTTATGGGGGATCCCCTTCAAAATTATGAAAAATGCATGGGAGTGCCATATGAGTCACAGCGAAGGCCATATCTTTCCGAGTTTTTTATCCGAATCTTAAGGGGAATACCTTAAACGATTTGTGGATCAATTCTCTACGAATCTAGAAACAAAATATAAAATTGTGTTTCACAATAGAATTTTTCTTCCGATTATAACGATAATTAAATGTAACATCAATGATTGTTTTGCTATCGAGCATCTCCATCAAGGTATCTGTCAAAAGGGTAAGCTCAGTTGCATTCTGACTCTCTGGCCGTGAGGTTGTGCCCAAAAATAAGCCGCAAACAAAATGCGATAAGTTGCACGAAAAATATTAATTTAATAGCAAAAACTGCACAAATAAGTAGAAAAAACACAACAAAATGTGGAACTGGAGTTTGTTGTGTATTTTTCTACTAGTGCCATTGGCAAATTCCACGGGTAAGCTCGTCAAAAATGGCTTTTTAGGTGATGAAAAAAATCAGAAAAATTCCGATACCTTGATGCTGTATCCCAAGGACATGACAGCTGTCAGGAAGCTGCGCCCAAAAAGAGAACGAGAGCAGGACATGCGCAGAAGTTTGTTTTGGGAAATTTTTGTTTGTTTGGGATATTTTTGAGGCAGTTTTCTCTCATTTTTCTCAATGTTTTCCTTTTTTTTGGTAGCACCCATAAGCTTTGAGGCGAATCCTGATACCAAACGTCTTTATGATGATCTACTGAGTAATTATAATCGTTTGATACGACCTGTAGTCAACAATACGGAAACCTTGACAGTGTGGCTGGGTTTAAAATTGTCCCAGTTGATAGAGGTGAATCTTAAGAATCAGGTGATGACCACCAATTTGTGGGTCAAACAGGTAAATATTATTTAAACGCTTATTTTTTTCCCTTAATTTATATAAATACTTTTAATAAAGCGATGGTTCGACTATAAGTTACGCTGGGATCCTGAGGAATACGGTGGTGTTGAACAACTTTATGTACCCTCTGAGCATATTTGGGTGCCCGATATTGTACTTTACAACAACTGGGACGGCAACTATGAGGTGAACCTTTATAAAAATATTATTTATCCAATTCCACTACAATCGCTTTAATTTTTAGGTAACATTAATGACCAAAGCCACTCTGAAGTACACCGGGGAAGTATTCTGGGAGCCCCCTGCTATTTACAAATCATCCTGTGAAATGAATGTAGAATATTTCCCCTATGATGAGCAAATTTGTTTCATGAAATTCGGTTCCTGGACCTATAACGGTGCCCAGGTGGATTTAAAACATTTGGATCAGGTGAAGTAAAAAGAGGACTATTCCTTAGCTCATAACTCCTGAGAAGGAACTGTGATTTTAACATGATACTATTTTTGTGTAGGTTCCCGGCAGCAACCTTGTGCAAGTGGGAATCGATTTAACTGAGTTCTATTTGTCTGTGGAGTGGGATATTCTAGAGGTGCCGGCTACCAAAAATGAGGAATATTATCCTGATACTCTAGAACCTTTTTCAGGTGAGTATGTTTCAGATTACTTGGATACAATTTTTTAAAATTTATTTTCCATTTTAAGATATAACATTTAAGTTAACTATGCGACGTAAGACATTATTTTATACGGTTAACTTGATTGTTCCTTGTGTGGCATTGACGTTCCTCACGGTGTTGGTGTTTTATTTGCCAAGCGATTCGGGCGAGAAGGTAAAAAAAGAAGAAACAATCGATTTTTTATAAGCATGAGGCATGATAAATATTATAGTTTTAAAATAGACTTTGTACCAAATTACTGTACATATGTTTTGTAGATTTTGTCTTAAAATTTATATAATTTCTGTTTTGGTATTTCAATATTTTCTCTTAATATGAAAAAAGATATGTTCCTTTCACTCATTCATAAAATATTGAACTATTCACACCCCATTTCACACCTTTTTTAATTAACTTCTTACACTAAAAAATACAATACTCTACATTAAACCTAAACTTTAGAAGATCTATCTACCTGATATGCACAAATAAAACTCCTTTCAATTACCTTAACTTTCCTTAATCTTTCAAATCTATTATTCAAAAGCTGAGCTCTTGTACTCTAGAACTGCAAAACTATCTTTGTAAATTGGCTTTCAACAGAATATTCAAAAAGAAAATTTAAAAAAAATTAAAAGAGCTCAACTTCCACTTCCTGCTCTTTCAAAACTATAAATTTCACTATTTTACGATCCAATTTTTAACTAATAGATATGTCTTGAAGATATGTAGCCTATCCTATATTTTTATTGAAATATCTTCAGCGATATCTCAGCGGCATCGCTCTTAAAGTATTTTTTTAAGCAGCACACATATATCGACGCCCTCATATATATCCGGAAAAATCCATTTCGCGTTGAATATCATTTGTGCTGTCCTGAGTAGTGAAATCTCATAACGTAAATTCTCATCGAATGCATAAAAATACGCAGTCGATATCGACATCGAACAGTATCGAATTCAAAATGTCAAAAAGCCACTCGCAAAATTTTTACATATCGCGTATCCTGAAATTAAGCAGCGCACACACACCAATTCGCTGACACACATACACCCACATATGACCTGCATAAGGATCAGGCACACCTTACCCTCACACACACTCTCTCACAATCACAAAAACACGGTCTGGACTCGTGCAGTTTGTTGTTATTTTATTTTTATCGTTGCATTAGTGTTTGTTTGTTGAATCGTATCGCTCGTTTGCTCAAGTAACTGATCTACTGATCCGCCACCGATATTTTGATATAATCCGGCAATCAAGCTTTGTGAACTGGTAATTAATATAGCATGTAATAATGGAGAGCAGTATTTTTGGGGTGTTTTCAATTTTAGGGTGATATATAAATAATACATTTTGATGGAATATTCTTTAAGATTTTAAATAATATAATTCAGAAGCTGGGGATTCCAGAAACAGATTTTAGAAATCAAACCAACTCAAGAACTTTAACAAGTCGGAGCTTAACACAAAAACAATAATTAATTAATACTATAATTTGTACGGCCTTGAGAAAAAACAGAAAATTATTACAAAAACTTATTAATACACAGTACCCAAACATCCACACAAAAACTGAAAGCTTATATCTAAAAGTAGTTACATGCGCTTTGTTGCTTATTTTATTGTGTTGATTGTTTTCGTGTAAACTTCGTTTGATTGATTGATTGATAGATGTGTGCGGGTTCATTGTCCCGCCGCTGCCAGTATTCAATAGATTGAGTTTTCGCGAGCGTGGTAGTTGTGGGCTCCTAGCTTGGTTTCAGTATACGCGATAAAGTCCTTAGGATTATAATTTTTTGTTTGTCTAAATTGTTTGAAAATTTGTATATTTATTATTTTTGGCCGCGTCAAACTTACAAAATATTGTGGAAATTCATTTGATTCGGCCATTTATGTTTTGATTTATTGTACAAGTAATTGCAATTGGCTGAAATAATTTTGAACAAATTACGATGTTTGTGTTTTCATTTGGTTGTCGTTCTGTGTTTACTGTCGTTGTTGGTTAATTGTTGGTTTGATTGTTTGATCGTTCGTATTTCTGTTGAATCGAGTGGCAGCAGTAGCCTCGAATGGGATATCGAGTTGAGGAAATTGTGTAAACATTTCGTTGACAGGTTACGTTATGTATTTCAATACTTGTGTCGTTGACCGTGTTTTTCCTGCTCCTGGCCGAAATTATTCCCCCCACTTCGTTGGCGGTGCCCTTGCTGGGCAAGTATCTGCTCTTTACCATGATTCTCGTCTCACTGTCCGTTTGGACAACGGTCTGTGTGCTGAATATTCACTTCAGGTGAGTCACGTTTAAGGGGTACACTCAGATAGTTAATGCCTTACAATAAGGAAGTCGCCAAAATATAAATCAAATTTAATATAAAAACTTAAGCATGTTGACAAGAATTTTCTTTAAGTCTTTTATAAATTTTTAAATGAGGTATACACTCTATAGAACCATAGAACCAGCTAGTTTTTTGTAAATATGTAAAGGCGACTTCCAAATTGTTTTGGGCTGCGGGCGGTTTTCTGAGTGTGGGTTGTATCTGGTCATAATTGCCCTCGGCACAGATCCCCCTCCACACACAATATGTCGCCGCTGGTGCGAAAACTCTTCTTGCACTTCATGCCAAAGTTGATGATGATGCGCCGGACCCAGTATACTTTGCCCGATTACGACGACTCCACGCCCAGCAACGGATATACAAACGAGATCGATGTGCGGTAAGTGGTAGTCCTCGAAATTGAAAGTAAACACTCGAAACGGACTTTTCTTTGCATCGCCTTGTTGTTTTTTTTCCTCCAGTGACAGCATCAGCGATTTTCCGAGTGAATTTAAGGACAGCCAGGACGGCGCTTACGATAATGGCATGCAGAACTCCGTGGGTGAGTTGCGTCAAAGTCTAACCGTAAAGCACAGAAATATTTTGCATACCCCGCGGCCCCAAATTGAAATCAAACATAAAACACAAACCCACAAAAATATCATAGCAAATAATGCAATAAAATGAAGAGCGGAATTCGCTTTGATGACAAATAACGCTTACGCGTTCTGAATTTACACACGGCCCTGGTCAAGGGGGACCTAAACCCAATTCTCTGGATCATAAAATAAGTCAAGCGCAATGTGAAAGTGCTGATATTTGTTTGTCCTTCTATAGATAGGACAATAAACTATAAAAAATGGTAAAGCCTATAGGATATGTGCTTGTTTTATGGCCAATCAATCTAAAAATTCAACTCTCCAATATTTATTTATGGAGTAATACTACAAGTCTTAAAAACTGTAATTTTAAAAACCCTAGTTTGTTTTTTTTATTGAAAATTTTTTTTATAAAATTTAAATATATCTTTTGCATGTATGAATTTAATATTCTGACTCTGAAACATGCCATAAAATATTTTCGATGGGCATTACTTAACTTCTGCTCTCCGTACTTCAAGTAAAATAGCTTGAGGCGTTAATTTGGGTTGTGGCATAGGCCAAAATATTTGTCTACTCATACGAGCACATAAAAGATGAGTTGCACACATGATACATACATACATAGCCGATGCGGAGGCATATTCTTGCTTCGCACATTTATTTATTATTCCAATATTTTATTTCAATTTTTTCGCCATTTCATGGCGGAAACTTGACAGATTCTGACAATGTGATACCGCGCAACTTAACACCCGAAGTGCTACAGGCGTTGCGTGCGGTCAGATTTATTGCGCAGCATATCAAGGATGCCGACAAGGATAACGAGGTGGGTACACAGGCTCTCAACTCTCCTACTCCCATTTATCCCCAGTCCCACCATCATCTTGGCCATCTTCAAGTCGTGCTTATTTTTGTTGCCCATTTTTATTGACGCGTGTTCTCCTCGACGCGGAAAAAAAAAGATGGTGGATGATGGCGGGGCAACAAGAAGCCGTAGAGTCCTTGGCGTTGTGGTTGTTTACATTGCCATATTTTCGGCGTCTGGCGAGAGTTTTTCGCCTCCTTGTCTTTTTTATTATTGTTTATTGCCCTTAACTTGAGCTTGAATGCATTGAATCGAGCCAAGTCCCAAATGTGCAGCAAACAATTGTAAAATATTAAATCATAACTTTATATTTTTATTGCGATTCAAGTTTATTGAGAGGCGGCCGCAGAGCAATATTTTATTAGCCCCCCAAAAAATGTATAAAACCAATTTTCGTTTAGCCTCAAAAGTGATATAACTGATATGATATTAAAAATCTATTTTTTATTGTTTCATCGTGAACACCCCGGCCTTTGGTCATTAGATTGTCGAGGATTGGAAATTCGTTTCGATGGTCTTGGATCGCTTTTTCTTATGGCTTTTCACGCTGTCCTGTGTTTTCGGGACCCTGGCCATCATTTGTCAATCACCATCGCTGTACGACACCCGGTCACCGATTGACCGCCAGCTGAGCGAGATTCCGCTGCGAAAAAACAATTTCATGCTGCCGCCGGACATCGTTCGTCAGGTCCTAACTTAATTAGGGTCCAGAGGTCTCCACCATCGAGGAAGACACGCCAAAGTTAACAATTCTTTTATGGAGGAACTCAATCAAATCAAGTGTTTCCATGGAATATTGCAACGATTTATGTTTTAGCGTCTATCACTCTGCAATATTTTAAAACAAACCTAGCAATAATGAATTCATTAAATAAAAAAATAACAAAAAATTCCATTACAAATAGATGTCTTGAAAATTGAGTTTAAGTGGGGGGTGGATTTTGACCAACTTTCATAATATTAAATGTAAAAACGTTTCCCAGTCGCTATCAGAGTAGACCACAATGACATCTGTTTCGACGCTGTTAATTTTCAATTAAGAGATGAGTTTTCATGAAAGTTTTTGGGGAAAATAAAGCGTTTTCTGGGGCAGAGCCAACAATATGGCATGAACTTCGCATTTGCTATGTCAAACAGACATTACGCATACGCCACGTTGCCTGCCTAAATAATTTGCAGTATCATTTATTTGCCTCCGTACACTCCCAGGACCTTCTTTAGCCCACATCGTCGTCTTTGGCTTTGTCTTTGTCGCTTTTCTTGTCTCACTGGCTGCCGCATTAAATTAGAAAGTTGAAATCTCTCGGCCTCGCATTCATCAACATGTGCAGGTCCTGCCTGCAGGAGCAAAAGACTTTCACTCCAGCACTGTCAACAGACATAATTTGGTGAGGACTTTGACTGGCAGGAGGGAGAGTTAACATTCTATAAAGCGTGTTGATGATGAAAAGAGCCTGGCTAAAAAGAAGGCATTTCTTTTGCAGTTGACTTATCGAAGCTTTAACACTCTATGGGAAAATGAAAGTATTATAGGGATTTAAGGAATAAAACTAAAAGTTTTTTGATAGTTTATTGTAAAGAAATAATACTTATATTAACTCATCTTCTATTATTTTTATTTTCTATAACATGGCACAATGTTAATAAAATGTATTTGAAAACACTTTTATTTTATAAATACTAATAAATCCTAAACTTTTTATTGTCCAATTGTTTTATGTCTATGATTAAATATTTTCTGTCCATCCAGGACTTTTATGGACTTTTCAGAAAAAAGCGTGATCCAGATATTATTAAGATTTGCTTAAGGATTCCGTGTTGCCACCCAACCCTCTATCTTAATGTCGTTTGCCGAGTTTCCTTGCTGTACTTTATTTTATTTTTGGCATTCTTTTTTTTTTGTTGGCAGTTTTAAATTAGAAAAGTTTTTGCCAGATTTTTGTTTTACATTTTTCATATTTTCTACGGGCCGTGCCCCGCTGTGCATGTTTGTCGCTGTCTTTATTGTTGTTGCTGCTGCTGCTGCCAGTTTCGTTGGTGTCAGTGCGTCACATGCGTGGCAAGGAGCCACCGCCTCTTCCGTTTCCACTTCCTCGGGCATGGGCTGGGTCTTGCTCTCTGGCCCGCCCTTGTCCTCTTCCTTCTTTGGCATCATCAACATCGGGAACGGATTTTCGTGGATCTGAATCCACTCCCGACACCAGCTGAGCTAAGGAGCTGCGACCCGGACGAAGTATGTCATGTTAATTTCTATTTGTTTGCCATGCAGAGCGCCAAACTTGTCCTGGGTCCTGTTTTCTATGAAAAATTCTGGTACAGTGAAGTTTGGATTACACTAGAAGTCAAGAACTTTTGTAATACGAAAGTGATTCAAAAATTTAATAATGGTTCGAAACAAAACCACTAGGAATGGTTTTTAATAATATTTTCAGGTACAGAGCAATCAAACAATTTAATAATATTGTAATATTTTTTTTTGATTGATGATTATCCTTCAGTTTATCTAAATCTCTTATTTAATAAAATGTATTCTAAAGAGGGGTCAGCCATTTTTAGTGCCCACTGTTATGGCATTTACATAAGGCCGCAAAGTATGCAACACATTTTCGAGCACAAGCTAAAGTTCAGCAAAGCACAAAACAATATGCAAATTGTCCAACCTTCTATCCCTTCGAAAAGAAGAAGATTTTCGGGTCAGGACCAGCGTCTATTTTTGTTTTTACGCCCGACCCTTCGAGCTGCATGTGTTAAGAGACTGTTAAGTGACTTAAGCCCAGTTTACACGGTCAATTACACCGCGGCCAGAAGTGAAAGCGAAAAGGAGAGAGTGGAGCAAGCAATGTCCCTGGCAGCTAATTAAAAAACGAGTTGCGCAACGGAAATCAAAACCATAAACTAAACTGCCGCAAAGGAAACAAAGTGCAAAGTGCATCCAAAGCTGGCTAGCTGTTCTGACCAGGCCAAGATTGACTCGAGTTATGGTAAGAGTTCGAAAGAGGAAAATAGCACCCGGGAGAAGCACGTGCGATGCTAAGTTTGGCCAACCAACTAACCAATAAACACTCGTGCACTATTTTTCACTGAAAAACAAAAAGATACACCAATTCGTAAAGTTTTTATTTGTGAAGGACCTTACTAGCCACTATTGAAACATTAACAAAGCACATGTGGTTAAAACGATTTTTATTTTATATAAAATATTAAAAAATATATATATTTTATATATTTATATAAAAATATTTTTAAAGTTCCCAGTACATTTCCAGACACTTTCACACAAATATACTTGGAATGCACTCGTGTGTCACCGTGTCCGGCGGCGTGACAGGAAAAAATATATAACAAAACCGTAGAATTGCTACATTTGACCAAAGGCACGTCAATTAGAGTTTTAAAAGGGGCGTGGTCGATGTGCGAATGACTTTGATGTGCCAACGGGAATAAACACATACATATATTTCTGCGGCTGATTTAGCGGATGGTTGGGCTACGACCACAGTAATGGTTTTGCTCATTTTCGGTTTGCTTATTTATTTAATTTGAAAACAATTCGGAGTTTGTTTTCTCGGTTTCCCATATGTGTCCTTTTCCAGGCAATAGCTTTAGGCGATTTAAGTGACAGATTTAAATGATTGTTAGGAATGGTTAACCCATAAAAGGATAGAAGGGTATATTTTAGTATAAATTTATTAAACAATAAGGTAACAAAAAATGCAATATGCTTATATTGTTCTTGATTTATATATTTATAGGACACATTTTATAAAGTTCATAATATATTGAAGCATCTATACACATGCTTAAACATTTTTGTAAAAAAACAGGTGCTTTGGAAAAGCTTGAAACTTGAGACCTTTAAAACTGCATCATGATCCTGCAATAGCCAACTTAATATATTTTGTTTGCCGTTAATCTTTATTTGCCAGTGAGCTTGATTTGTTGGGGTCATTGGTGGGTTTAAATGTGTAGTTAAGTCGGGTCCTTTTCGACTCTAAAGTTCATTTCAGTTAGAACATAGCCGACCCGACCCATCCCGGCCCAGCCCGACAAACATATGGGTGAGTGGATGTATTTGTGCAATGATAAATTACAAAATTGCTGCCTTTGGCAAAGCCATGTGTGTGCTTGCCAGTGTGAGTGACCGCGAGTTGGCAGGAGCGTGTATCTGTGTGACCCAGTCCCAAAACGGAGGCCACAAAGGCCATTTTGTTGTTATTAAGTTTGCCTTTTGCGAGTTCTTTATTTTTGTTTTTGTTCGAAGGCGATGCTTTTTTTCTGTTTGCCTTTTTTCAGCTGCACATGGCTTTTGTCTATGTTGCGGTAAGGGAAACGAATGGGGCTCGACAGTTGTACAGTGCGTGAAATTAATGATGCGCCAAAGTTGTGCTTCTTCTGCTACGGCTTCGGCTTCATTGTTGTGCAGTCGAAATGGCAACGAAATGTCCACAAAATGTAGGTCTAAAGACGCTTTTATTAATAGTCCTGGTACGTGGTCACGATTAACTGCCATTTTACGCACTCGCACTCGTCCTGCCACTCCCCCATTGCCTCCCCACTGCCCACCGCTCTCTCTCGATATGGTCGATGGGCGGTCTTAGCCTTTTTGAAAGCTTTTTGCTGTTGCGTAAGTCGGAAAGTCTCTCATCTCTCTAGACGGGAGTGTGTGTGCGTGTGTAATCTGCGTGGGATTTGGACACGACTTTACTTAAGTTCATAAAAATTCTATTAAAAGCAAAAAAAGCTTAGCCAGGGTAAAGGGCAGGACACGCCCCTTTCTGTCCTTTGCATGGCAAAGTATTTAACTGTTCTGCTATTCATAATCGTTAAGGATCATTAAGGATATGATGTATTAATTTGTGAAATAAATCTGTATTAAATTTATGTTGATATTAATTTAAAAAAGGATTAAAAATTTGTTTTGCATTATTGTTATAGTGTCTTATATTTAAAAGAGGCCCCATTCCTTACAGCACTCAAGGCCTCCTTATTTTCAGAGGTCATGTTTAAAAGTTTATAAAAATAAATGCTACATTCTTTTTAATATTTTTTCTAGATCCTATAATATTTAATTTGGAAACATCAGCTTGATTGAAGACCCTTCTCGACTTTGGCATTGTCCTGCTAGAGGAACAATCAGAGCCGACTGCTTTTAATAACATTTTTCACTGGGCTCCTTGGCCATCTCCTCTTGCACTTTTTTCGCTTTTGTCTTTCGGTGTTTTTTTGTCGCTTAAGTGGAGGCTCCGGCGCTGTCAAGTGCTACTGCCACGCCCATCGCCTTTGCTCAGCCGCCCCACCGCCCACCATTTTACATGACATTTTAAATTTACGATTTACATTAAATGGCGCAATGCAAGAGCAACAACAGGGCCAACAACTGAAAAAAAAGGAAGGGAAAAAGTACAACGAGTGGTTGTAAAATGAAATTGCTCAGCCGCTTCAAGAGGCTCAGTTGCCTGTCCCAATCCACCCCGCCCTCGGAAGGACCTTCCTTCCCCCCATGCCACACGTTCCTGCCTGTGGTTGCCTGCCTGTCCTCGAAATACAGTTAAAAACCAATTTCGTGTATGTAAAATATATCAACTATATATTTAAGTGGCTCCTCTGATGCTGATTCCGTATTTCCCTTCGCTTATTTTTTGGGATGTCTTTTATGTGTATTTTTTCTACTTGTCTCTTGTCAAGGATAAATGCATTAGCGGGCGTAACAATTTACACATTAAGGCGTGACACAGGGGGCGTGGCAATGGGCCAATGGGTATGGGCAAAGGTAATATATGACTGTGGCGGGGACACAGGACTGTGGCGGGAAACACATTAGGGTTGGGAAACCTATCCGGGGCTTTTAGAAACTGAAAATGAAATCGTGTTAAGCAATCACATAAATTGGTTAAGCCAAGCGGA